CCTAGTCACTTTCTGGTCAATTACGACAAGTTGCCTCTGCATCAGCTTAGTCCAGACATTGGTGATCATATGTTTCATATTGCTTAATTTGTCAAAGTCTAAATATCAATGCAGAGGCTGTTGTATCATCACAAGGCACACCTCCAACAATAACATATTCCTTTGTGAGATCACAATTCCATACTTGGTCCCTAGATTACACAGTTATGTCTTGCTCACTTGGCTGGCAGCTCAGGATAGTGAAACAAATACTCAATGCCTAATTTCCATTTGGATCTAGTAGTAATAACACTCCTCACTCAGAGTTATCTGGCTGGGAGGTCAGGATAGTTGGGCAAATCCTCAATGTCCAATTTTTGTTTGCATCCATTAATCCTCAGGCCATCATGTTAGATGTGGTCAGTACAACAAAGTTGGACAAGGTTTGTACATTACTAAGCTACTGTAAAGTACTACATAGCCGAGTGTGCATATATGAAAAAAGAGCATAGCAAGACTGTGAACATTCTCAACAGCTTTCAACACAATATAAATTCTAACACACCCACTTTTCATGCCATTGAGAGCTTGTAATAAATCCATATGCACCAAATGAAAAATAAACTCTTTTAACATGAAAGAAAATTGCACCCACTTGATGCAAAATCCATCTGAAAATTGAAACACATCTGCTATGCCCACTAGATGCAGTATCTGTCTGGTACTTTTGGTGTTGAATTGAACCTCAGAGAGTCCCTTGCTCCTAGAATGCATTCCCCCAACCTCCCAGACTGAAAATTCTAGACCATGGAGTGCTGTTTGCAACTCCTAGTCCACATAACAATATCAAATCTGCAATATAAAATTACTCTCCACTGTACTAGCAGTGAGAGCCTCTGGGTTTTTGGTAGGTGATCCAGTTTCAGTGGCTTTGGTGCAGTACAAAAACATGCAATGTGACCTTCACCACTGTATCTGTAGCAATTTATTGGCTGCTTTGCACTTTGTGAGTTTGTTTTACTTTCAGGGCAAACTGATCATCAACATCCTTCCAGCCCTTCAAAAAGCTCTCTTTTTCAACCAGCACCACAGAAATATCATCAATGGTAAGTGATCCTACTTGCTGCATAAGGGCAGTAGCAACCACACTAAATGCCAGAGCTAAACAATAAATGAGGACATCTGGCATATCCTCCTCAGGTAGCTCAATTCCAATCACTGGAACCCATGAAGTGAGTGTCAATATCCCATGTACATATTCCATCACCAGCTTCTTGACATCATGCTGGTATGTATGCAGCTGTCATTTCAATGAAATCTGGTCAGCATGATTATTTGCCTGATAGATTTTCACGAGTGCTTGCCATGCCACAGGTCCAGTGGTGCAATACCAAATATATGTTTGCTGACTTGATGCAATTGCGAGCCCAATTGCCATGTAACCATCACTTTTCCCATTCCAAATACTCCTTGCTGTCCTCATAAGAAGGTGGCTTTATTCCACCACTCACAACACTCCAAGATCCAGAATGCCACAGAACCATTGACAGTGAAAACTTCCATTCATGGTAGTTATCACCTGAGAGTTTTGGGACACTTGCAAGTAAGGTGTTGATGTTGGTCATAAAGACAATAAGATGGTATTAATGTGACTTGTTAAAGCAATGGGGTGGGGGTCCATAATCTGTTAGATGTGGTCAGTATAACAAAGTCAGACAAGGTTTGTACATTACTAAGCTACTGTAACATACTACATAGTAAATTGATATCCCACACAATTTCTTGAAATGGGGGGGAGTCAGCACCCTGATATCTTTGTGAAGTTGAAGACAAGAAAACATAGTCAAGAGTAATGGTAGTTGATCAATGAGGATGGTGATGTAAGTCAGGGGGTTGACCTTATTGGTATGATTCCCTGAGCCTAGAGAAGGGCTTATTTACAGTAGTTACAACTTAAAGAGAATAGGTGATATTGAGGTTTAACAGTGAAGATCTCAGGTAACAAGTCAAAGAGTCAAAGAGTCTGCAACAGGTTCAGTGTAGAGCATTCCCATCAACCCTTACAGTGTGAGGTCAACAAACATTATAAAGTGTGTTAATAGGTGAATGCTGTCCACAACAGCTGAGGTGATACACAAACCTCAACTTGCTGGGGACTCTGGGGTAGTCTTGCATATCAGGGTTGTAGGGTAACAATTTCTCCACCTGTTCTGGCATCTAGTGCACCCACAAGTATCCATGACACTTCAAACTAACTATTAAATAAGATATTTGAAGGATATCTTAATTGAAATATATCAAATAAAATATAGGAAAGGTTAAGGAAAAGTATCAAGTGTCCCTGTGAAGATAGAATTTATACTGATTCCCTTACCAGAATTTTCCAATTAGCCTATGGAGGGTGTTTATAATTACTATAATCTCAAATATTTACTAATAAAAGTCTTATTTTTACAAAACTCCATCTTTAAATAGTGATATCTATTCTGAAACAATTATATCATCAAAAAACAACCATCAGAAATAGTTCTCCATATTACATCTTATACAACCCATAGTTATTTAATAAATTCCATTGTATATAATTTCCTTCCTTTTACAGATGCCTACTGTAATGTATTAGACTTATTTTAATACTATTTTCTGGAAAAAGGAGTCCAATGCTCTATCAAAGTGTGCAAATACTCAATTCACAACAAGGTAAAATAATTTAAGTATTTGATATTAATCAGTGGCAGCCTTAATAGACTTAGAACCCCTGAAGTCAAGAGTTTACTTGAATATATGCACCCTACTTCGCAAAGAAGGTTTTTGAGAGCTGCTTATGTAAGCTTGTTCTTTTTCTGTGAAAACAACCACTAAAATATGAATAACAATTTACTGATTCCAAAACTAGATTCAACTTCGATTCTAACTAGTTTATATATATTTTATACTATTTATCAAACAGTAAAAATATTAATAAACAGATCAAAAGATCAACTATAGAATAAAACAATATTTGGCAATATATGCTTTATTTAAATTAATCTACTGGATCTACTGTGATACTAACTTATCAGGATCTTAATGTAGTCTTTATGATTCTGAAAGAATATTCTCAGTACTTTATTATAAGCCAGACCAGGAGAAATTAGAATTATATTCTAATTTCAAACAATAAAACAAACAATTTATTGATTACTTGGTTGATAGCCAACGACTCTAACCGAGGTGGCAACAGATTCCAACAACTTAAATAGAAGTCAGAAAAAGTAATAAAGCCAGCTACTCAATTAAGAGGTGGCAAGGGGGAACAAATAAGTCAACAACTCAGATTGAGGTGACAAGGTGAACTACTTGGGCCAACAACTCTAACCGAGGTGGCAAAGGTTTCCATCAACTCAAATAGAGGTGGAATTAAAAGTCCAACAGCCCTGATAGGGGTGGAATAGCCTGCTTGCTGCAGTAACACACAGATGTGGGTGGATAAAAAGTTATATTTTCACGGCTGGAGCAGACCTCCTTATATACAATAAAATGTGAGACATTTTTGAGACATATTACATCATTACTATCCTAATTTAGCTATTCCTGGGGAAGCTTCTGGAATGCTCCAGGAATTTCCGGTTTTTTCTACAGTAGCATACATGATGATGTCATCTATTCCCGCGCCTTTCGTGTATGTCATCCGCGCCTTTGTAATCATCGCGCCGTGTGACTGTCACATTATGTGACCGTCGCGCCTTGTGACCGTCGCGCCTTGTGACTGTCGCGCCTTGTGACCGTCGCACCTTGTGACCGTCGCGCTTTGTGACCGTCGCGCTTTGTGACCGTCGCGCCTTTTTGTGACGACTGTCACATGATTTTCTCGCGCGTTGTGTAATTAGCGCCTGGTGGCCGGTTTGATAGTATTTAGTTAAAAAAGAATAAATTCATAACCTCTTCAATATTTAAGATAAAAATGTAAAATAAATTGTAGAAATTCAACGAAATTTAAAAGATATTTATACAAATTTTATCATCGCAATATAAGTACATTTCACAAGCCATTTTGGCTATTTCGGCTTTTGGGGGACTTAAAAGGTAGAAAACTAATAAAATACATAACACCTACTAATACTTTTATTAGTACTTTGTTTTTTAAAAGTTGTAATGTAGTTATTTCCATGTAAAATATGTAAAATATTATTGGAAATTCTTTTTCTTTATTAAGTAAAACCCCCCTATATATTCTGGGTATGTTGAATCAATTAGAAATCTGTTCAGATTGACAGATCCATTCTGAAGTAATACATATTTATTTAGAGGTGCTAATGATATACATATGCATGGAATGGACTATCTAAAGGTATCTATTTTTTAAAAGTATTAGTGTTTCAAACTACTAATTTTTTTTATTGTCTACTTGTGTCTGGAAAGATTCTTTAGTTTATAATGTAAGAGAGAGTTTAAAACTTTTTGAAAGTTTTAAAAACCAAATTATGTTTGAATCACATCCCAGATGTTTAAATGACCTTTAGAGTATATTAGAATTTGGTATACTTAATAGTTTTCAGATATCCTCCTATGTAAAGTTGAGCAGTGTTGCTTTGGTATGTATCATCCAGCAGATTTGACAATGGTTGTCAAGGGATGAGGTTGGGGAGGGTGGCTAAGCACAGGGCTTCATGATGATAGGTGTCTTTGAGGTGTAGTTGGATTGGTGGGATGAAGGCATGCACCTCCAGAGTGTCAGTTACAGTAAATGTAAAAGCTCCAGTTATCAGTTTGCATTCAAGTATTTGTACTTCATCTATGCTTCTGGGGTGGCTGACTGACCCTATATTGTGGGATTTGCCTTTCCTGACTATGTACTACATATACTGGCAGTGCATAATTCATTTTTGGTTGTATCATTGAGATGTATAGGTGATGGATGGGTTTGCCAGGTAGACCAAAAGAGGGTCTTGTGAGGTGGTCTGGTTGGGGCCCATCCTGAGAAAATCATGAGTTGTGAAATGAGAGGCATAGATATTGGTGTTAAAAGTGTAGAAAATGAATGGCCAGACTGGGAATTGAACCCAGGGCTTCTGATTATATAACAGGGATGTTACCAATTACACCACCTGACCCTGGGAAGCAAATGCTAGCATTACACAATCTAACAATTGGAACATCATCGTTTGGCCCTAGAGTTGTGTGTAAGTGATTATGATTCTTGCTTGTCAAGCATGGTATTGAGTATTGCATTACATTCTTCATAGTTTTGCTAATCAAAATTTCAAATCCCCCAAATCATTTTAATGGTTGTTGTTTTGGAAAGATTGATTCACAATACAAACACCAGACATCAGACAATTCCTAAACAATTACCCAATATACATAGTATGATATCTTAGCTTGAACTTGACACTTGGCTCATGTAATTTGAATCCAAATTGGTGGAATAATAAATGAAACAAAGTAATCACTCATTGGATCGATTTTTTGACCCTCTATTTTCCAACTAATTAATACTTGGTATGACCACCTTTTGCTTTAATGACTGCTTGTATCCTCCTAGGCATGCTTTCTGTGAGATTCTGACACACTTATGGTTGAATTGCATTCCATTCCTTCACAACTCAGTCCCATAATTCATGTACTCCTTTAGGTAGTTTTGGGTATTGTTGCAGGTGACACTTGAGGTGTTTCCAAAGGTGTTAAATGGGATTTAGATCAGGGGAATGGGCAGGCCAGGAGAGTACTTGAATGACATTGTCTTCAAACCACTGTCTGGCTGTCCTAGATGTATGCTTTGAATCATTGTCCTGTTGAAAGTAACATTTGCCCTCCTCCATTTCCAGCATTTCAAAGCTTTCTACTGCTCCATCCTCCAAAATCTCCACATACTGACTAGCATACATTTACCCCTGAACCTTGTAAGACTAGTATCTGCTACAGGTGCAGACAGACACTAGAATGAGTGATGGGGAAGAAACCACTACTGTATTGAAATCTACATGGACATAATATATACTAGTGGAGAACAATGGGATGTGAGCAACAATGGGATGTGGACTACAATGGGATGTGGACAACAATAAAACTATCTATTACCAAATCACAGTGTAGGGAGTCTCACTCCCTTACAACCTCCACTAACTTTCCCACACTATTCCACCCCATACAGCCCCATACCATGAGATTATTTACTCCATGCTTGACAGTTGGTGTTGTTGTTTGGTTAGATATTGGTTCCCCCCATTCTTTCCAAACATACACCTTTCCACCAGATCCAATTTGGTTAATCTTAGTCTCATCTGTCCACAACACCCTTTTGAAGTCCTTTACAGTCCAGTGTTCATGGTACTGAGAAAACTCAAGTCACTTCTGATAATGAGTCTTCTTTAACATGGGTACTTTCTTCTTTGTCACAGAATAAAAACCATTTTTCTTGAGTACATTCCTGACTGTTTTGGGGAGTACAAAGGTGGGGATGGCAGAATTAATGAATTGGGTAGCTTGAACAGCATTGTCAAGTTTTCCAGAGCTAATTTGACAGACAATTGAGGGTTTATTATGAGTAGTAAGCTTGGAAGGATGGCCAGCTGGGTTGTTTTCTTTATCTGCAAGCACTTCAGCCTTGATCCTACTGATTGTAGCCCTCCCTAAACCAGTTTTAGTCTGGATTTGAGTGTAGGAATACCCCTCTTGAAGAAGAGAGATAATAGTAAAGCACTGAGTAGCAGAAATAGCTTTCATGATGGTGGTAAAGGCTAAGGAATGGTTGAACCAACTGTCAACACACCAAACAGATGTAAAAAAAAGTCACATGACATGTTTATTATTCTCACAAGTAGACTTATATTTTTACTGAAATAGTAACTTTTCTGTCAAAATAATAGAGGGTTAAAAAATCATTCCAATGAGTGATTATTTTGTTTTATTTCTTGTTCCACTAATTTGGATTCAAATTACATAAGCCAGGTGTCAGGTTTAAGCTAAGATGCCATACTATATTGGGTAATTTTTAGGAATTGTTTGATGTCTGGTATTTGTATTGTGAATCAATCTTTCCAACACAATAAAACATTGGAATGATTTTTTGACCCACTGTATGCCCCACCTGTTAGGATCCTCATATTTTGGGCTGCAACAACTTTTTTTTACCCTAAAACCCCCTCCAGCACCCTGACATCAATACCCCTGACCATGGTGTCACTGCCCATAGCACCCTGAGACTTGGTTTATTGTTGATTACCCCTTTAGTCATTCCATCCCATCTCTGTCCCAATGTTTTCCTGTCACCCATTCTACATGTAAATGATATTTGCCACCTCATACCTTATAGAATACTTGCATTTCATTACATTTAGTTTTAGTTCAATCCTTGTTCCTTTCCATGTTTCCTTTGACCTGTCATCACTTCTCACTTCTCTGATTGGGATCCTACTCATCCATTATACTTTTGTATAAAGTCTCATCTTGTATGTTACAATTCTTTAGTTAGAAAATCAACTTAGACTACCCTCCTCTTATTTTAAGTCTTTGTACTCTTCTCCAAATCCTCTTGAAGACATCATTGGCCAGCTACAACTTCTCCCTCTACATCTCTTGGCAATTCAGCCATCTGATTGATGAAGCTAAGTATGATCTTTAGCATAATTCATACTACTTGCTTCTTCTCAAAATACCAGAGCACCCTAACAGGTCATGTGAGGGTGCAACACATAAGTTCAAGCCAAGCTCCACTTGTTTTGTAGAACCAGATCCCCCAGTTTCATATGACTTATCATTTCACCTCCCCCAGTATCTATTCCTCTCCTTCCTTTGACCTTAGATCTTAAAACCACCATCTTCATTTTGTCCCTGTGGGATGAGTACCAGGCAATAGTTGTAGATAAGGTATAGTATCATGGATGCTGTTTCACCTTTGCTGATGCCATTGTCAATATTGATAATGGCCAAGATGACTTATCAAAGCTGAGATAACTGCAGTTTGTGGGTAGAGGACAGCAGGTTTTAAGAAAGTATTTGAGGTGTAATGTCACATCTAAGCAATGGAGTAGCAGTGGGGCAATCATGGTGCACATTGTTTCATGACAATATTGGGAATACCATCTTTTCCAGGTACTTTTAAGGGAGATACTTTTGAGATCCAGTGTACAATTTAATGTAGATGAGGCAGCATAAAGGATGAGGGTACAGGTAGTAGGTCATCATCATCTGGGACAGGAGGAAGTGTAGCTGGCTTCAGTGGGAAGAATATATTTGTGAAGGCATCTGCATTGGCTGTGTTAGTGCTGTATGTTTCAAATACATTACCATTAGGGTCTTTTTTGTATAATGTTGGTATGCAACTACATCTTCCATCTGAAGAAGAATTTTTGGTGAGTCTGCCTGCCCCCCATATAACATGTAGACAATGGTTTATACTAAAAGATTCAACAATAAAAAGGTGAGTGCAATGGGATGGAAATAGGGTATGAGTATGAATGAGGATCAATGTGGAGCTGAAATATTGAAAAGTTTTCAATATGACATGACACACATGAAATGTTGCCCCACCTGTTGAAAATAGGAGTGCAGATTTTTTGTGGGTGGAGGCACCAGCAAAGTCCATCACCATTGACCATGGATCATTACATAAACTACTAGCACAGTGTAGGTATAATAAATCAAATGAAATAAATCAAATGAACCACAAGTGTCCTCAACAGCTTGCAACATAAATATAAATTGATCCTGACACCACCATGATCAGAAAAGAAGGTTATGTAATATCTGAGGGTGATATACCTTGGCCACTGGAGGATTCAGAGACCATGGGCATCACAGGAGGAAAACCATCACCCCTTGCTGAGGGTGGCCTAACATTCTTAGCATGTCTGGTAGACATGGGCTAAGAGCAATAACAATAAACAGATATATATCTACAGAGTTCAAACACAAACTGCTGTCAATAGACCAATGAGAAATATTTGCCCAAGTTAACAATGAGGCAGTGTGCTAACTGAAGTGGAGCCCTGTCTCACCAGGCTATAGGAAAGTGCTGTGCAGGGTTTTGTGCTGCCACGCTAGTGCTGTGACATGTCTTTTTTCAAAACAAGTAGATACTTTGTCAAATTTGTGCTGGAAATTTACAAAAATACAATTATATTTGATATTAGAGCATCAAAACATGATAAATATTACATTTAGTATACAGTTTCCTGGTGAAATATACCTTGTGTACTACTTTAATTGGCATATGCTTAATTTTAGTCCTTCCTTAATTAATAATAATTCTCAAATAAACCTATCAGAGTCCAAAATAACAAAATATAACTTCGAAATGGTGTGGGTTCTAGGTTTGCATGAAAAACTTGTATGTTGCAGCAGTTCCTTCCTAATTAGGAAGGAACTGCCATGATACTGAAACAACTTTATCTGTGGATGACAGAGGCTCAAAGAAATGTCAAATATTATATATCTTAAAAGTTCTATATTGTGTTATATACTGAAAAATGAATATTATCTACATACAAAGCTCTTTTTTATTTGTATCAAAATATTTTATACCTTAAGTCTCCTTATAATTCAGCCTGGGTCATTGTCTGAGTATTCTTTCAGACTGCTTCTCAAATGAAGCTTCCTCACACATTCCCTCTCCTTTATGCTTCTGAGCTGGTCAGGGTCTTGGTCTATTTAGGGGGAAAATGTGAGATTCTTGAGTGTCTGGTTCACTGCCTTCACTAAATTCTGGTCCATGCTATGTGAAAGTATGAGCATTAATCTATATATATTATATTTTGAAATTGATAGTAAAATACCTAATATTCAGTCTTCTCTGGTTCAGGAATATCACATTTATTCCAAGAGTAAGGAACAAAAGAATATGGACTCCATTTATTCTCATGATTACCTGCATCCAATCCCCACTGTTCAAAGCTGGCAGGCCCTGCTGCTTTTGAAGTTTCAAACATTTCATGTTCAAGTAATCCAATAGTTTCTTTGTCAACATCTATGGCAGGAAATGGTGGTACCTGGCTATGCTGAAAACACCACAAGTGTTTCAGTAGATCTTGAAATAGTTGTGTATGTTTAGGAAGATCCTCAAAAGATGGACCATCAGGGGATAATTGGGCGTAGGACTGTTTCAGGATAAGAA